AAGCTACTGTATAGCCAAACTCCAGGCCACCCATAGGGCGACCCTGTGGGCTCCCGCCTCTGTTCTGGAGCCCCACTAGGCCACTCTGCCCCCAGCTCCACACCCCCTCGGCTTCGTTTCAGACCACTCTTGCCCAGGCAGGCAGGAGTTAGGCTCAGCCGGTAGCCACACCTCAAGGGCCACTCACACTATGCCGTGCCTTTGCCATCGTGAGGAAGGGCAGAGAGTCATGTATGTAGGCAGTTGTTTTGGGAGGCCCCGAGAGGACCTTCGGACCTCATCAACGTGCTTGGTGGTGTAGTGCTGGAAGTCCGCAGCCGAGAGTTCCAGGGCAGGATGGACTGCAGATCCAGAACTGCGGAGTCCCCACCGGAAAACAATTTAAAGGGATGACCTGGCCCTGTCCTCCAGGTGGGCGTGGCTTAGGAGAGGCACCTCCCACAAAGTGAGGCAGATCAGTAGTGCCCCTTCCTTAGGACCTGGCTGAGTCTCAGTGCTCTCTTAGTAACCTCCGTGGTTACTCAGCGTTCTCCACGTGTCAGTGTTGGACCCTGGCTTCCACTCACATCGGTGCCCCTCTCCCCTGTAGGCCTGTTCACCCTGCTTCCTCAAAGGTGACTTGTCCTCTCTGCTTCCTGCAGATGCCTGTGGCCTTTCTGACCCAGCCCATGTGGAGAGCCTGCAGGAGAAGGCACAGGTGGCCCTAACGGAGTACGTGCGTGCCCAGTACCCATCTCAGCCTCAGCGCTTTGGGCGCCTGCTGCTGCGGCTGCCAGCCTTGCGTGCTGTGCCAGCATCCCTCATCTCGCAGCTTTTCTTCATGCGCCTGGTTGGCAAGACACCCATTGAGACGCTCATCCGGGACATGCTACTGTCAGGGAGCACCTTCAACTGGCCCTATGGCTCGGGGTAGTGGTGGACACCTTCCAGGACACACAGATGCTGGAACCATGCAGGGACCCTGGGGCCAAGGCCCCGACTTCTTTCCTGAGACTGATTCTTTTTTTAAAAGACTGAAATGTTTGTCTGTTTTGTTTTTTAAATAATCATGAAACCAAAAAGAATTTGCCCCCCCCCCCCCAGGCTCCAGTCTTGTCCTGGCAGCCCCTGGTCAGAGTGGGGCTGAGGGTCTGGAGCCAGTATGGTGGTGGCCTTGTATGATGGGTGTGGGCCTGGTATTCTGGAAGGGCCACTGCAGCTGGGCAGGGGTACTGTGGGCCGGGAGGGTCTTCTGGATACAAGGCCCATAACGGGCACTGTGAGATGAAATCATGGCCAATAATAAAGATATTCCCCTACTTGCTCAGCCTACCTTTTCTTCTGTGGTGCTGGGGAAAAACCCCAGGGCCTGGCCTGTATCCAGCAGGCTCCAGAGGGGTAGAAGCTGCGCCTCCTGTGGAGAGACAGGAGCCCCAGGTAGAGGCTTTCCCAAGACGTCTTTGCATTTTCTGGACCAAGCCACACCTGAAACCCTTAGGTGTTTTGCAGAGTTTAACCTACCTTTTTTTTTTTTAATATACACAATATTCTGTCTGCGTGTATGCCGAAGGCCAGAAGAGGGCACCAGTCCTCATTACAGATGGCTGTGAGCCACCATGTGGTTGCTGGGAATTGAACTCAGGACCTTTGGAAGAGCAAGCAATGCTCTTAACCACTGAGCCATCTCTCCAGTCCTAACCTACCTTTTGTGCTGCCCCGGAACTCAATTTAACTCAGAGATCCACCTGCCTCTACCTCCTGATTAAAGGAACGTACCACCACACCTGGCTTCAAACCTATCCTTTTAAGTCAGAGTAAACTTGTTTCAATTTCCTCTCTCAACATAAATCACCATTTCTAAAGAAGACAAGGTGGGGACAGGCTTTGAAATGTGAGTTTAACTGTTCTGCTGTGTAGTGCTGAAAGAAAGGCACGGGGAGTAGCCCAGGGGTGGTGCACGCCTTTAATCCCATCAGGGGCAGAGGCAGGAGAATCTCTGAATTTGAACAAAAAGTACCAGGGAGTTAGGGGTCCAACTTCAGAGTGGTCGAGACCCACACTAAATCCCCACTTAGCATGCCCAAGGCCTTCTGAGCTACTTTTCCTGTAAACCCCCACATGACGCCTCTCTCTGTTGGAAGATATCTGGGACTCACTGGTTTTGAACTTGCCACATTTCCAGGACCAGGGGTAACTGACTGTCCTAGTGGCCAGAACTGGATGCCTGGCCTGGCTTTTGTTATTCTGTGACTCGGGGTTAGTCTCAGATGACACACACAGCCTGTGTCTGTCCAACACCAGAGGACCTATGTGGGGTGCACCCCCTGCAGACGCCCAGGAAGCCCCAGGTGGTTGGATCTCACCCACCAGGCATGCTTCCATCACACCTACAGAAATGATTGGTTTGGGGCAGTCTCACTGTAGCCCAGGCTGCTCCCCAAATGTTCATCTGCCTCTGCCCCCCTCCCCCATACTGGAACCGACACAATTGCCCGAAACCAGTGACCTTGGATAGTTCCTTTCGTTGTCCGCGTGTTCAACCCCCCCCCCCCCAAATCAAGGAATTGCTCGCAGGAAGCTGTCTAACACGTGTTTATTCTCTGGGATTCTCAGCAGGACTTGCTTCCCCTGGAAGAACTAGAGTGTGATTCCCCATGGGACAAAGAGCCACCACCATCTCCAGGACACTCAGAAGTACACGGAGCCCTCACTGTCGCTGTCCCCTTGGTCATCAAATTTTCGGATCTGGGCCTTGATGTGCCTCAGTTTACTCTTCAGGTAGTGACAGCGAGCCTGCTTATCCAGGAAGCCAGGATCCTGGGGGAGGGAAAGGGTTGAGGAAGTCCCCCTGGCATTCTGACCCGAGGCCTTCAAGATTTTCATTCAGCTCCTTATAAATCCCAGCTTTCACTACACGGTCCCCGCCTCGGGACAGGACCAGAGGCCACAGCCACAGTAGTCTTCACTCACCGCCCGCTTCTTCTCAAACTCTCTCCAGACTCGAGCTGCCACATGAGCCTCCTCCTGAAAGGGCGAGGTGGGGAAGGGGCTCAGAAGGGTGGGAAAGGGCCGACATGGCCTTGATAGCAGTACCCACCCGGTAGAGGAAGCACAGTCGCAGGGAGCTGGGGACACTAGAGGCCCCGGGGCTGACCTGGCTTCGGGGTGGGGGCAATGACATCAGCAGGGCCTCCAGCTGCCGGAGCTTGGCCTGCGTGGCCCCCACCTCGCGCTGGAGCTCCAAGAATTCTCCGTACTGGTCCTGGAACACAGCGGCGTAGCGGCTCCGGTCCCTTCTGCTGCTCACTGGCGGGTACTTACTACAGATTGGAAGGGGGTCAGTGTGCGAGTGGAAGAAAATCTCTTTCCACTCTATCATGGCAACTGGCTTTTCTTTGCCCACGCTGGGACCCCAGCCCCAAATGCCCTCATTTCCTAACTCAGTCCTGACCCTTCCTAATTCCGAGGCATTAAAAAGCATGGCGGGTACAGGAGAGTGGTGACTCAGGAGACTAGGGCAGGAGGTTCATGACTTTGAGGTTAGCCTAGGCTAGAAGGCCTTACAGCAAAGAGCCACAGTAGGGCACTCACAGCTCATAGTCAGGTACTGGGTTGGGACGTGGTCCCAGAACTTTGGGAGGCTTCTCTGCGTGCGGCGGGGCCCGGGGGCGTAGCTCGTCCGCAAACACGATCTTCCGGGGCCTCCTGTGGAGCTCCCCGGGCGCGGGCTGGCACTGTGCTTGCCGAGCGCGAGACACTGGGCTTCGCGACACCAGCGTCTGCGCAGCAGTGGAGATCGCGGTTAAGGGGTGTCAGGAAGCAGGGTTCCCCCACGTAGGGTCTCCGAGTGTGGCACTCACCCGGGGCTCGTGGCCCGCCGGGCGGGGTTGCGGGCGCTCCGGGACTGGCATGCGCGAGGCCGCGTCGCTCGGGCGCCCCCCGGCGATGGGAGACGAAATGCAGGCAGTGTTGGGGCCTGAGCGCCTGCGGGCGGCGAGAGGACCCGGCGGACCGCGCCTGGGGACGGGGCCTGCGGGTATTTGCGTACGCGAGCGCGGTCCGCTGGTCGCGCAACCCAGACTCCGCGCCTTAGGACGCGCACCCCGGAAGGGGGCGCTGGAGAGGCGCCCTGGCGTCACCCCGTCTCCGTCTGCATGAAGGCACGCGGTTGGCTGGGCGCGCAGTGCCGACCCGCCCCCGATTCTGAAGCCGGAAGGGCGCGACCCCGACCGCTGCGCCCACCGCCGCAGCCCACGATCACGTCCCCGCGGAATCCCCGGCCTCCGCCCGCCCGCCGGTCATCCGGGTCGTCCAGCTCAGGGTCACCTGTCCCACAGCCGCAGATCCCCGCCTGGCCCTGCTGCCGGGAACGCACCTGTGCAGGAACTGCCTGCCGACCCGCTATCCTGGGCGTCCGGCTGCCGGGGCGGGGCTAAGCGCGGTGGGTGGGGCCTGTGAAATGCTGACGCCCGGGTTTGAGTCAGCCTTCTAGTGGAATTGTCTAGACCTATTCACTTTCCGAAATCTATTTGTTGGAAAAAAAAAAAGGGGGGGGGGAGGTAGTTTTTCCAGCTTGACTTAGTTTTTTTAGTAATTGTACTTAAAAAAAAAAAAAACCTTGTGATTCTGTGTGTAAGCAGAGGCCAGCTCAGGTTATTGGGCGTCTTCCTCTGTCTCCCCATCTTATTTTTTGATACTGATGCTCCCCGTTTTGGCTTTGGCTGGTCAGCGAGCTCCCAGGTAGATGTGCCTGTCACTACTAGCACTGGGACCACAGCTTCATGCACCCCAGCCCTGGCCCCTACGATGGGGTACTGAGGATTCGAATCTTCGTCTGCATACTTGGGCAACAAGCACTTTAACAATGAGTCATTGCCCCATCCCTAAAAAATGTTTAGACTTTTATGATGTTAATCACGTGTGCTTGCCACATGCGTGCAGCTGCTGAAAGGTCAGAGCTGTCAAGTTCCTGGAGCTACATTAAATATACTTATTATTAAATAGCTTTTGATAGCCGGGCAGTGGTGGCACATGCCTTTAATCCCAGCACTCAGGAGGCAGAGGCAGGCGGATCTCTGTGGGTTCGAGGCCAGCCTGGACTACTGATGTGGGAGTGTCATATCAATCTGTTGATTTCATTGGTTAAGTAATAAACACACTGCTTGGCCTCATAGGTTAGAACATAGATGGGAGGAGTAAACAGAATAGAATTCTGGGCGGAAGAGGAAGTGAGGTCAGACTCTGCTCTGCTCCCGGAGAGACTCAACAACTCTGCTCTCTGGAGCAGAGACACCATGGACGGAGGCTAGAATCTTCCCGGTAAGCGCACCTTGGGGTGCTTACACAGATGATTAGAAATGGGCTAGTCCAAGTGCGAGAATTAGCCAGTAAGGGCTAGAGTTCATGGGCCAAGCAGTTCTTAAATGAATACAGTTTGTGTGTTGTTATTTCGGGCATGAGCTAGCCAAGCGGCCAGGGTGTTGGGGACGCAGCCCCGCCGCCGCTTCCTATTTCAACAGACTACAGAGATAGTTCCAGGACAGCTAGGAATGTTACACAGAGAAAGCTTGTCTTGAAAAACAACAACAACAACAACAAAAAAGTTTCGATTTGCCTTTTTCCCCCAATTCTTACTGCACTTTGTGTGTGCTCCCCTTCTGCAGTGTGTGCTCTGGAGTGGAACTCGGGTTGTCAGGCCCTGTGGCAAGTGCCTGTACCAGCTGAAGTGGCTAACAAGCCTTTTGCTATTTGTGGGGAATAGAATCAGGGTTCCACTATGTTAGCCGACTTCAGCTGGCGGTGGGCTTTATTTCAGCCGGGGCATGATGCGGATGAACAGGATCATGCTGATGAAGACGAAGCACACGACGATGAGCATGGCCCACAGCAGCCAGTTCACTGACTTCTGTGCGTGCTGCTCCAGGCGCTCCGATTCCATCTTCAGCTTCTCCAGGTTCTGGTCGGCCATCTTCAGAGAGTGTGACAGGGTCTGTGGGAGGAGTGGGGACCAAATGTGTCCACTGCCTCCTGCGTGGTTTGTGCTTCTAGTCCTAGCTGATGCTGTGCCCTCTGTGGGGTATCCCTCAGCCACCCCTCCTTGGGCTTTACCAAACTCCTGCTGAGCCTACAAACACCAACACTGGTCCCAATTTCATCCCTCTTCTGCAGACCTTCCTCAGTGCCCCAAGGCAGAGCTGCCGTGTTCCCACACCTGGTTGTCCTTCTTGATGACACTCTGGGCGGCCAGTGTGTTGGTCTTGAGGCTGCGTGCCAGGCCTAGCATTTCCTCCGCCAGCTTTTCCTGGAGGCCCTGGTGCCTCTGGAGGACGAGGTCGAGCTCAGACGCTGAATGCTTCTCATCTGCAGGCCTGGACCCCTTTGCTCTGCCGACGCCACATGTAGTGGGTACCCAGGAGTGACAGGGAGAGAGATAGACACCCACATGGCGCCTTCCCAAGGATCCCTCAGTGCTGCCCGGGACTCAGTTTCCCCGGCTTTTTTACATCCCAGGAACAGCAACCCAGAAAGGACTACCAGTGGGCAGTGGGTCCATGTAGCAGCGCCTCAAAGGCCCCAGCTTCATCCAGCGCCCCCTTTCCCCACTTCTCAGTGGCTAAGATACTCACATGCGTTTCCTCATGTCCATCTCAAGCTCTGGAAGCAAAAGAGGCCAAGGACGAAGGTTGGTTTCCTATCTCCAACTCTTGCCCTTGCCCTGTGCCAACTCTGCTACCCAGAATGCTGTTGGGCCTATGAACTACTGTCCCCTGGTCTCACCATACTTGAAAGTCCTAGGTAGAGTGACTTGTAGAACCCCAAGGTGCCAGGCCTGGGGACGCATTCTCTTCCTCAGCCCCCCCCCCCCCCCCCCCCCCCCCCCCCCCCCCCCCGCCCCAGGCATTACTCAGTTGACACTGGGTGGCCTGCTTCCAGGGCTGGGAAAATCAAAGCAGGCGGGCAAGAGGAGTGTGGGCAGCAGGGACAGTCAGTCCTCAGCATGACTCACCACCAGACGGCTCCTGTGGGGAGAGGGAGAGGCATGAGGCCATGCACTTTGATGTTGTCCCTAAATCTCTCTACCTTGGGATGACCCACGTGAAGTGGTCTGAGGTATTGTAAAGAAACTGACCCAAATTCTGATGGGGCCAACTCTGGGGCTTAAACAGACATGCACCTTCCCCTTTTTTTTGGAGACAGGGTTTTACTGTGTAGCCCTGCCTGTCCTGGAACTTGCTCTGTAGACCAGGCTGGTCTCGAACTCACAGAGATCTGCCTGCTTCTGCCTCCCAAGTGCTGGGATTAAAGGCCAGTGCCACCACCGTGATTTTTCCCATGAACCAATTCGAATTCCTTTAGCAATGTCTTGAGCACCTTCTCTGAGGAAGCCTTGTCTGTGGGCCCTCCAGGGTTTCTGGTACTATGTTCGATCTCTGTCCCTGTACAGACTACTCTGTTGCTATCACGAGGATGGTCCCAGGGACAAGGGAGGGAATCCTACCGTGCCCAGCAGCTCACTCCGCATCTCACTGGTGTAACGTGCCCGGGACTGCAAATGTACGGTCTTGGTGGCAGGCACCCGCTCCCTGGCTGTGGTGGGCACGCGGCCAGGGGCCAGGAACTGGTTAGCTAGAGCCTTCTCGGAGGAGGAGGTCTGAGGGAACGTGGGAAGGGGGGGATAAATCACTGGAGGCTGTGTCCAGTCCTTGGGGGCCTTAAGACCCAAGGGGTGGGAGGACGGGCTCACCAGCTTCTCAGCCTGCAGCATGCCCTTCAGGAAGTCCACCTTGCGCGAGTACTCGCTGATGACTTCGGAGGCAGGTTTGCTGAAAGGCAGCAAGAGGAAGTCAACCTGCCACTGTCGCAGCATCGGGGAGGGTCTCAGTGCCGCACACTCACCTGGCTTGGATTTTCAGGGCCTGCAGCATGTCTTCCAGGGCACCCACATACTGGGAGGGAAGGGAGTGTGTCAGCCAGGCCAGGACCCCAAGGACTGCTTGCAAGAGAAAGGGGTGGGCCCAAGGGGGCGGGATTACGGGCCGGGGGAGGGGCATATAGTCATGACGTGACAGAGGGAGTGGCCTGTGCACGAGAGGGTGAGATCAGGGAGAGCAACCTGGGCATCAAGGACCTGCGCGCCTAGGGGCGGAGCCGCACTTGAAGTGCAGCATACAACCGGAAGGGGCGTGGCCAGGAAGATGGCTCGCCTGCCTTTAGGGTTCGAGGCCTCTGCGGGAGCGTAGGAGTCCCTCACCTTCTCCAGACGCCACTCGTTCGGCGCCCGCTTTTCTGCCGCCATCGACTCGCAGCGACACAGCAATCGCACGAGGTTCAACTCCAGCCGCGACGTCGCCAGCGGGCGGTGACTGGCCCCTTTGGTCTGCGCCATCTTGGAAAAGGGCGGAAGTGCCTGTAAGGGGGCTTGCTTTTGGGCGTTCGTCCCTTCCCCTCCGAGGTCCGCCCTGCTGGGCTTCGGACGGAAGTAATATTTCAAGCCCCGGCGCTGCGCCTGCTTTGTTCAAAGATAAATCGGGTTTTTTTGTTGTTGTTGTTTAAATGAGAGAGCATCTTTTAAAGTTGTACTTTTGTTGTTTGACCTTTTTTCTTATTTTGGGCAGAATCTCTGACCCAGACAGGGCTGGGGCCGCCTATCACGCTCGGGAAGCGTTGGCTGGCAGGACCGGAAGGGCCGTCGTCAGCTTCGGACCCACGCGCTATGCTCCCTGGTCACTGCGTTCCGCTTGCTCGTCTCAGCTCCCCAGTGCGCGTTTCTCCTCTGAGCGCTCGGTAGCCAAGCCCCAGCCTTCGCTTTCTCCTTTCGCCTGGGGCTTTTCCCGAGCCTGGCTTGATGACATGCCAGGTGGGCGCTTCCGTCGGACAGACCGGCTAGTTTCCAGCCCTGGCAGTCTGCCTCCCGAGCTCTGACCCAGCCGTTTCTATCCTCAGCCAGAGCCTTTCCATTCTGTAATAAATCATTATGGTCCATTTTATGAAAATGGAGCTCGCCAGCGAATCACAGACCATCAGGAAGCAATAGGCCCCTCTTTTACAAAACAGGGTGTCTCTAGCTGTCCTGGAACTCACTTTGTAGAACAGGTTGGCCTCGAACTCACAGAGATACGCCTGCCTCATCCTCCCGAGTGCTGGGGTTAAAGGCGTGCGCCATTACTGTTCGGCTCATCCACTCTTATTTTTTTAAGATTTATTTATTAATTATGTATACAGTGTTCTCTCTGCATATATGCATATGCAGAAGAGGGCGCCAGATCTCATTATGGATGGTTGTGAGCCACCATGTGGTTGCTGGAGATTGAACTTAGGACCCCTGGAACAAGCAGCCAGTGCTCTTAATCGCTTAGCGATCTTTCCAGCCCCTCATCCAGCACTCTTAATATGAAGTGAGGATTTTTTTTCTCATATTGCCCAACTCTGAAATTGGGCCAGCTTCCTTTACTCTGTTGGAAAAGCAACTGCTACATTTCTCTGTCTTAAGGGGACAGGACCCAAGTGGGGGGTGGGCAGATCTGGATCATGGTCTGTGATTCTCTGGCGAGCTCCATTTTCATAAAATGGACCATAATGATTAATTACAGAATGGAAAGGCTCTGGCTGAGGATAGAAACGGCTGGGTCAGATATAGCATCCTATAGGAATATAGGAATCCAATGTCAATCCAATCAGGCCACTGTGTGTGTGTGTGTGTGTGTGTGTGTGTGTGTGTGTGTGTGTGTGTTGAGCATTCGTGTTTGCATGGAGACCTGTTCCCTGTGGAGGTCAAAGGGCAACCTCAGTGTCATTCTTCTCTCCCATCTCCCCCTCTCTCTCAACAGTCTCACCAGACCAGGCTGGCCTTGAACAGATATCTTCCTGTCTCTACCTCCCAAGTGCTGAGACTAAAGATGTGCAGCAGCATGCCTGAATTCGAGATATGGTCTCTGGCCTCTGTAGGCTGGGCTAGCTAGCTCTTCCCAACACTGGGATTACAAGCCCTCAGTACTACACCCAGCTTTTAGTGTTTTGGCTTTGAATTTTATTTAAATTATATGTATGTGTGTGGGTCTATGTGCATGTATGGATTCATGCCTGTAAGTGCAAATGCCCATGGAGGCCAGAAGTAAACACTGGATCTTCTGGAACTGGGACCACAGGTGGTTGTGAACTCCCCAAAGTGGGTACTGGGAATTGGAATCAGGTCCTCTGCAAGAACAGTATGTGCTCTTAACCACTGAGCCCCCTCCCATGACTTCTGAGAATGAGAAGTGTAGGGCAAACCATCTCCAATCTGAGCAAGTTTCTAACAAACCCTGGGCTGAATAAATGGCTCAGCAGTTAGAAGCTTGTTGTGCTCTTGCAAGAGTACCTGAGTTCAGTTCCCAGAACACATGTCAGGTAGCTCACGATCTCCTATAACTCCAGCTCCAGGAGTTCTGACACCTCTGACCTCTTCAGGGACCTGCATTTACACGTACACACCCACACAAAGACACACAATTAAAACACACATTTTTAAACTGGGCATGGTGGTTTATGTCTTTAATCCCAGCACTCAGGAGGCAGAGACAGACAGATCTTTGAGGTAGAAGCCAGCCTGATTTATAGAGTTAGTTCCAGGACAGCCAGGACCACACAGAGAACCCTATCTCAAAAGTCATATATATTCATACTTAAATATGAATATATATTTAAACCTTAAAAAACAAAAATGGCATTGGCTCCGCTGACACTGGAGTTAGGGTGTGAGGGTCGTGTGGTTCTGGGTCCTCTGAAAGAACAGTAAGCACTGTAACTTCTGAGCCAGCTCTACCAGGCCATGGAGACAAAGCCTCACTCTGCAGCCCCGACTCACAGATCCATCGTGAGCAGCACATGAACAGACGGTGACCCTGTGTTGTTTGTGTGCACCATATGTGTTGCTGCGACCTGCGTGTCTTCAGGACTGACCCAACCGGGTGACACACGATGAAGAAACAACAGACACGCACAGAAAAGCTGGCACTGGGTGGGATTTTTTAAATTTTGAAACTATATTTGTGTGCATATGTGCTCCTGTGCCCTATGTCACAGTGCACAGATGACTTGCAGGAGTTGGTTCTCTTCCACCGTGTGTGAGTTCACCTGCCACTGCTACTGGCTTCATGTCAAGGGAAGGGGAGGTCTTCATGAGTACCAGAGCATGGCACGAAACCCACCCCTCAGGTCACCTGGGTCCTGCTCACTTCAGAAATACCCTGGACACACTGAAGCCAGCGTTGACAGAGGGACTCGGGGAATGACAATGTGTGACAGCCTTCCCTCTCCAGCCTTGGGACTTAGGACAGACAGTGCTGTCAGTATTAGTCGTGTTGAGCTTGCCTTGAATCTGAAACACGAAAATGCTGTGCATGCCTCGATGACCACATCTGTCCGAGGGGCTGGGACATGTAAAGAGGGTAAAGAGGCTGCCCTCAAAAGGACAAGTGCTTGCATTCAAATCCCCAGCACTCACAGAAAGAACCAAGTGTAATCTACAGTCTGGGGCCAGACTTCAGGCTGCCCAGTTAGGGTCAAGGACGACATGAAAAGGTGGCGGCACTGGGGAGATGATTCAGAGGTTAAGAACACTGAACGCTCCCCAGAGGATCTAGTTCGATTTTCAACACCCTCAATGGCAGTTACACCCATCCGTAACCCTAGTTCTAGGGAGCTGAGACCCTGCTCTAGCTTCCACAGGCATACACATTCTGTCAAAACACCCGTTAACATAAAATAAAAATACTTAAGTCTCAAAAAATATTAAAAGGCAACCTTCCTGAGGTGTGGAGAGGGCGACCTCTGGGGTGAACTTCCCTTGGGATTTTCAAGTGTGTGGGCCAGCAGCGGGTTCCCAGAGAGGTCCTGTAAGGCTTGTTCTCTAGTCTGGCCCTTCATCCTGCTCGATCTCAGCAAGACCAATGGACAGAGATGGGACGGATGGGACAGTAGAGGAAGCTCAGCCTCTTAGACTGGAGACACGCCCCAGGCAATCAGGCAATCCCCATAATCCATCTTCGGAACCGAACCGCTGCAAGCTGGCCCGAGGCCCACTGTGTGTTGGAGCCAATTGCCGCAGAAGCAGATGAGGGTGACACGAGACTCAGAGGGCCTCCTCGCCACTGTACCCATCAAATGTACCTGACCCTGAGAAGATTCCTGTGCAGTCGCCTCAGAAGCCTCTTGGCTTTTGTGGAGGGGGGGGGGGAGCAGAGGTAAATGTAATGGTCTGCTTTGTCCCTTTATGGCTTTTGTGGAGGGGGGGGGGAGCAGAGGTAAATGTAATGGTCTGCTTTGTCCCTTTAAGAGAAAAGACAAGACACGCCACTTCCTTCCTGGTCCACTGAGGCAGGCTGATCTTCAGCTTCTAGCCTGAGTCCTTCCCTTTCTGTCTCCCTCTTGAAGAAGCAGCTTCTGTCTCCCTCTTGTCCCCTTCCCCTCCATAACCCACTAAATAAATATCCAACCTCACTCTGCATGGTATGCCTAAACATGTCTCTGTCTCTTTCCCACCGCAAGGACCAGCCACCTTTGGAGACCTGTGACGTGGTCTCTCCTCGTGGGACTGGCTGCCCCATCGAGGTCTCTCGCCCACCATGCGGCTCCCTGCCTGGCTGCTCTCAGACCCACAACCCACTGTCTGCTGCCACTTTAGGGACCCAAGGGATCTACTGCCTGCTGCAGCCACTCAGGGACCTGCAGCATTTTTACTTAAGCCATAACAGCAAGGTTTATATAGCCCTGGCTGGCTTGAAACTCATTATGTAGACCAGGCTGGCCTCAAACTCAGAGATCCATCTGCTTCTGCCTCTTGAATGCTGGGATTACAAGTGTGCACCACTACCACATGTCCTTTGGTTTTTAATAAAGACTATTTTATAGTCCTTTATAAAAGACTATAATATTTTTAAAAGGTTAGTCAGGTGTAAGGAGTGGTTCTACAATCTCAACACTAGATGGAGCCAGCTGGTCATTCAAGGAGCTCAGGTTCAGAGCTGTCTCAAAGATGAGGACAGCCACGGAGATCAGAGCTGTCTCAAAGATGAGAGCCACTGAGCAAGCTCTCCGGCTTCTACACATGTATACAGAGATAAGTTAAATTTTTTTCTTTTTTTTTTTCAAGACAGGGTTTCTCTGTCTTGGAACTCAACTCTATAGACCAGGCTGGCCTCGAACTCATGTTCCCCGGCTTTTGCCTCCCAAGTGCTGGGATTAAAGGCATGTGCCACCACTGCCTGGCAAAAAAAAAATTTTTTTAAACTACCAAGAGCTACCTGCTGTACCACCCCTATTCCCCAGTCTCATGCCTAGGAAGCAACCATTCCCACCCCAGGCAGAGAGGGTGCTGCAGGCCCCACGGGAGCAAACACAACCCTAATTTGAATGGAGGGCTATGACTGGCAGGATACCCTGGCTACACTTCCTCTCCTGGATACATAAGCAGGCTCTTTGCTTGCTTCCATGGGCAGCCTGGTGATGCCCTCCTGTGTCC